AGGCAGAGGGTCTTTGTAACAGCAGTCGCTTCTGTAGAAGGATCAGCTCAGCGGCTCCCTAAGGCTACCTCAGAGCTCTTCTTTTGCTGCCCTTTTATCATCTTCCCCTTAAAAAATGGACTTTTAGCCGGGCGGTGAACTGGACTTTTAGCCGGGCGGTGGCGGCGCACGCCTTTAATCCCAGCACTCGGGAGGCAGAGGCAGGCGGATCTTTGTGAGTTCGAGGCCAGCCTGGTCTACAAGAGCTAGTTCCAGGACAGACTCCAAAGCCACAGAGAAACCCTATCTCGAAAAACTAAAATTAAATTAAAATAAAATATAATAATAAAATGGACTTTTAAAATAAAATTACATTTTAATATTTTTATTTTGTGTGCAATACAGAGAGGTGCATGTGTGGACCTCAGAGGATGGCTTTCTGTAGTTCCTTTCTCAATGTAGGTTCTGGGGGGACAAAGCTCAGGCTTGGTGGTTAGGCTTGACAGCAGGTGACTGTATTCATTCAGCCATTTTGCTCGCCCATATGGTCGTTTTGTAGGACAGAAGTCTGGGCTGCAGCAGCCTGAATCTCAAAACTTCCCGTCCTAGAGTCAAGGGACACTAAAGAGGCTTCTCCCCACCTTGCAGGTTTGGGATCCAAAAGCCAGAACAAGAGATCTCCAGAGGAGGCTGTGACAACAATGTCCGGACAGACTAACTGTGAAGTGACTATGTCCTGCAATCCCGAGGAGGCTGACACCGAGGTCTGGGAGACCAAGAACCCACCAAGGACGGCCGTGGGCCCGCTGGTGGTGGCGCATCGGGGGCGGCCGCCCACGCGCAGGCGCCAGTTTCGGGATTTAGTGACTGAGAAGCCGCACAGCTGCGGGCAGTGCGGGAAGCGCTTCCGCTGGGGCTCAGACCTAGCCCGGCACCAGCGAACACACACTGGTGAGAAGCCACACAAATGTCCTGAATGCGACAAGAGCTTCCGCAGCTCTTCGGACCTGGTGCGTCACCAGGGCGTGCACACGGGCGAGAAGCCCTTCTCCTGTTCTGAGTGTGGCAAGAGCTTCAGCCGGAGCGCCTACCTGACAGACCACCAGCGCATCCACACAGGGGAGAAGCCCTTCGGCTGCAGCGAGTGCGGGAAGAGCTTCTCATTGCGCTCCTACCTGCTGGACCACCAGCGTGTGCACACGGGCGAGCGGCCTTTTGGCTGTGGCGAGTGTGACAAGAGCTTCAAGCAGCGTGCACACCTCATCGCGCACCAGAGCCTACATTCCAAGACGGACCTACTCGGGTGAGTCGCCAGTGGGACCTGAACAGTCCAGCGAGGTGGACACTCCCTGTGATTCTCCCGGACTCTCTTTGTTCGTCTTGGAGAATTCTTCTCTTGCCTGTGACCACTGCCAGCCTATGGAAGGGACCCAAGGCCTCTGTATTCTGAACTGGCCTGCCTGCTCCCGGGATCTGCCACCTGTCTCTCCCCTTCCTGCTCTGAATTTCTCTTCCACTTGTTGCCTGGAGTTTCACAGTTTCTAGGTGGTGTGAGGCCTCCCGGGCAGGACCTAGGGTTTCTCCCCAGGACCCTCCGGGCTTCCTTGGCTGGAGGCTCTCTGTTTCTGTCTACTTGTGCCTTCCTGTGGGGACTGGCCTCCATTCTCAGGGGACTGCTTGGCTTTGGCAAGGACCATGGGCCCATACCAATGAGAATTTAGGTCCTGGGTTCAGTCTCAGCAGCTTCCTGGCCTTCACCCCCCACACTCCCCCACTTCCAACCTGTGACCCCTCTTTTCTGCCCCAACCCCAGGAAGCGCCTAGCTGTCGTGCTGTGAGCCCTGAGACACTGCCCTGCAGGTCTGGACGTTAGTGGAGGTGGTGGCTGTAGCAGCAGGCTGGCTCTGGAGAACACCCGTTCCTCCAGACGTGCGGCCTTTGTCGTACGTACATTAGCACTCTGTCAGTCAGCACTTTGTAGCTGACACCTGAGCACTGTATTCATGTTTTTAGTCTGCATTGTGTGCAGACTGACGTTAACAGGACAGCATAGACCCTCCAAAAGGGCTCAGCCCGGTGGGGTTCAGAAGGGTTTGAATAGGGGCTGGAGAGATGGCTCAGAGGATAAGAGCACTGGCTGCTCTTCCAGAGGTCCTGAGTTCAATTCCCAGCAACCACATGGTGGCTCACAACCATCTGCAATGAGATCTGTCACCCTCTTCTGGCGTGCAGGCATACATGGAGGCAGAATGTTGTATACATAATAAATAAATAAATCTTAAAAAAAAAAAGAAAAAAAAAAGAAGGGTTTGAATAAACATGGACCTTTGCCTTGAGGCTGTCATTTTTTAGCTGTGGAGTTATCTTGTGGCTTGTTAATGCTGATAGTTGGGGTGTCTGCAGTCACCAGGGAGAGCCACATCTTGTACCTGCAGTCCTGTGACTGACTCTGCTGTGTCAGTCGGTGCAGTCCTGGTGTGGAAGAACAGGAGTCAAGCGTGACTTGAAGTCTGCCAGGTCCTCCTTCACTTGCGGTGGTAAAGTGAGCAAGGGGCCAAAGGGGAACTGACTGGCCGAATGAGGGGACATACCTGCTGCTGTGGGATCAAGAGCTCAGCTGGCCCTGTGTGAGCTTGAAGTTGTCAGAGGGGTTCATCAGCTTCTATTACCAGCCCCCAGTACAAGCTGGGGCCTACACTGAGCTAGTGGTGCCTGGTCGGGGCCAGTCACTCCTTGTCTGATCTTGCTGATCCTCTGGGTTCATTCTGTCAGACTTAGGGGGCCTCTCCTGGGGATAGATAGAGACGAGATGTTCTGTCCCTTACTAACTGATTTATGCGTGCCAGCCTTTGTCCCCAGGGTCCCTCCTCTGCCAGCCCCCAGTATAGCACCTTGTGGTCTCAACCTTCCCCATTTCCCACCTGAGACCCAGCAGGTTCCAGTCAGCTGTTCCTGCCTCTGCAAGCTCTGCACTGCCGTCTGCTTGGACTTTGTGCACAGTCTCATGGAGGGTAGGGTGGAAAGGATGCTGGGAATAGTATGGGCTGTAGAGCTGGCAGCTCCCTCCTAAGGGAGACACGTAGGTGTAACACGATCAGATAGGAGCATGGGCCAAGGACTAAGAATAGAATTGAGCTCAAGCTCGTGGCTCAGGTGGGAACACAGGAATGCCAGCCATGAAGTTATCAGCCAGAGCTAGAGAAGGGAGCTAGGCTGGAGGAGTGGAGCCCAGGGTTACCAAAGAAGGGCAAAGTCCAGATGGGATCATAGCAGTTGATAGGAGGCAACATGTGTAGAAAAGGGCAAGGATCAGGCCCCAGTGTGCTTGGGACCAGAGCCAGAGAGTAAGCTCTGGGCTTGGAGGAAGCCCCACTGGGCCTCATGGCCTTCCTGGTGTCTGGGACCCTGCAGGCGGCTGCACAGCTGGCAGATGCTTGGGACAGCTTGGGAAGACAGGTACTGGGATGCTCTGCCTGGCTCAGTCCATTCCCAACGCCCAGCTGGGCTTCAGCCCAGTATAGCTCTGACTTTCCTTCCCCAGAGAAAATACAGGGTGCGGGGTTCAAGGGTAGCCTTGATACTCAGCAGTCCTGGGGTGTCTGCGGCTGCAGCTGCTGCCCTGGATGGTGTGTTCCAGGCTCTGGGCTTTGAAAACTGTGAGAAGAGGAAGGTCTCAGTCCAGGTGAGACTTACCCTGCAATCTTCACCCTCTGCCACAGCGCTGACCCTTAGCTGGGGCCTCACCAGACTTTGCCTCTTTCTCGTAGAGCTTCCACGAGGAGCTGAGTTTGTTCCGGGAGCAGCTGGATATCCAGAGGGGTGCTGTGGGGTGTGCCCTTGTGGTCTTGATGGCCCCCAGTGGGCAGCTAAGGCGGTCACAGCTGCTGGTTCAGGAGCTGAGTCGCTGTGGGGCCCTGCAGGGTTGCCCCAAAATCTTCCTGTTGCTCTCTAGTGGCCTCAAGGGTGAGTGTCTAGGCGGTGACCCCAGTTCAGGGAGGGAGAAGTGAAGGTGGGGGATGAACAGGATAGCTGGGACCTTCTGGCTTACCTACACAGCCCTGTGGTGCTTCTCCCCCAGCTGCCTGGGAGCCTGAAGTTTTCCTCACGGGTCTGGGGGAAATCTGCAGCCAACGTCCTCACTGGTCACTTCTGCAGCTGCTGACGGAGGTGGGGGGACCCAGAAGAAGGGAAGGCGGGGCCTGTGTCTCCCTGGCTCCCCAGAGTTAAATTTATGCACACTCTGTTGCATCTGTTCTGAAAACCTTTATCAGCTACACACATGCACGGGCTGCAGGACATGCCTTCACGCCCACATGGGACCACCATACTCCAAACTTTCTCTACATCCTATGCCTTTGCCTGAAGTAGTCCCTGAAAGTGGTGTGCCCTCCCTGGTGGCCTGGCCAGTCTCACTGTCATCGTGCTAACTTTCCTTGTGCTCCTGGTATCTACAGTGAGACTTCTGCCTCACCCTTTGACACTCGAGCAGGCAGTGGCTGCTACCCTGTTGTACTGAAAGGGCCTTGTGACTGAGATGGGGTTTCAGTCCTGAGGTCTGAACATCTTGCCCGGCAATCCAGTGGTGTCTGAGTGACATAGAAGTGAGAGCTGTGGACCCCAGCTCTGCTCCATGGCTCCCTCAGCCTAGCACCGCCTCCTCCACAGACCTGTGCTTCTCCAGGCCTCTGTGTATTAATCCCTAGGGTGAGATAATGAATTTGAGTATGAGTCAGAGCCTAGGTCTTGCTTAAGTCCATCCTGACTTCTGTGTTCCCCTCTACCTCCCTGCTATGTGACCTCCAAAGCCTGTAGTAGCTCTGAGCAGGCTAAGTTTTCCCTGAAGCCAAGAGCCTGACCCTCTGCTTAGGATGCAGCCCACGCCCATCCCTAACAGCGCAGCTCTCTGAGGCGTCCGTGGGCCCTGCCCTCTCAGCTCTTTTGCAGAGTAGCTGAAGAGTCTGCTGGGAATACCTACTGCCCATTCTTTAGGACCTCCTTGCGGGGGACCCTGTGTTTGGGAGATGTGGAGCCCTGGAGGCCAGAGGTGAGAGGCTAGTCCTGTGTGGACAGTTGCAAGTTGGGTGGAGGCTGAGAGAGATACAGATGGGGAGAGGAGGAACTGGGAGTCCCCTCAGCCCACTGTGTGCCCCTAACTCTCTGTACAGTCAGACTCCAGACCAAGTGCACAGTATGACCTGTCTGGGACCAGGGCCGCCCTCCTACTGGCTGTGATTCAAGACCGGCTTGGGGCACAGCATGATGTGGCAGCACTGGTGGACCTGTGCCAGGCCTTAGGCTTCAAGGTCACCTTGAGGACAGACCCTACAGCTCAGGTCAGGGGAAGCCCAAAATTGGTAGTTCTTGGAAGGAAGGGTACCCCTCCCCTAGGACCCTGGAGTTTTCCTTGCTAGGTTTCTTCCGCATCACAGGCAGGAAGTACATCTATATGTCTAGCCTCTGACAGTCACTTCCCTGCCTTGGGAAGCCTGCTCTCCAAGGTCGAGGCTGAAGAAGTGGCCCCAGCCCCCTGAAGGGCAATCAGAGGCTGGTTCAGACCTTGTCCTTGTCCTCACCACTTTAGGCATTCCGGGGGGAGCTGGTTCAGTTCCGGGAAAAGCTGGGAGCTCACAAGGGCCCTGTGAGCTGTGCCCTACTGGCCCTGATGGCCCACGGGGGGCCACAAGGGCAGTTGCTGGGGGTTGATGGGCAAGAAGTACAGTCCGAGATGTTGGTCCAGGAGCTGAACTGCTGCCAGGCACTGCGTGGCCGCCCCAAGGTCTTCCTGCTTCAGGCCTGCCGTGGGGGTAAGAGGCCCTGCCTCCAGCCCAACCAGCTCTCCTGGCTTTCCTCTGCCAGTCCTTGCCCCCCCCCCCCACTTCCCACCCACCTCCTCCAGGAAGCCTGCACACTAGCCTTTCCTCGCCCCTCTCAATCCTCTCCACAACCTTGAGCTTGTATGACTATTGCCAGCTCTACAAGCCTGCCCCACTATTAATATGGAGTCTGGATGACCCAGAAATATCCTGAGGTACCACTGAGTGAACATATCTGCCCCCTCCTTCTCCAGAGAACAGGGATCCTGGTGTGGGGCCAAGAGCCCTCCCATGGTACAGGCGCTGGCTGCAAGCGCCCCCAGGCATCCCCACCCAGGCAGATGTTCTCCAGGTTCACGTTGACGCCCCAGGTGGGTCTGCTTTCCTTTAGAGCTTGGGCTTGGTACACTGGTGGGAATCAGCCCTGGCATACTTCCAGGACTGTCATCTTGGGTTCTGTTATCCCCTCTGCCCCTTCTTTGCCAAGATTCAGGGAGGGACCTGACTGAGCCTAGCAGCTTGGAGTCAGCAAAGAGAACTCGCTTCTCTGAGTTCATACAGTCCGAGTGCTGTAAGGCCGGTGGTTTTCCATCTGTCTTCCTTCCCTGCACTCTTTCTGCTGCCCCTGTGCTGCTCTTGAACCAGAGATGACAAACCCGAGGCAGGTGGAGTCCCAGGATGCCAGTAAAGGGAGTTGACTCTTTTGCAGGGAGCACTGGCCAAGCAGACATCCTTACTGTCTACTCAGCTGCTGAGGGTAAGAAGCCTGTGGTTGTTGCTAGACCTAGCTTCCTGCCCTGAGACCTGGAGTGACACCCAGATACCCAGAATACCCTCTCCCTGCCCGTCTCACTCCTCCCACCCTCAATAGGCTTCTAGGGTTGGGATGCTAGAGGGAAGGAGCCCAAGACTGACCGACTCACTCCCTGGCATAGGCTGTGTGGCCTATCGGGACGAAGAAAAGGGCTCAGACTTCATCCAGACGCTGGTGGAGGTCATGAGAGCCAACCCAGGAGGAGATCTCATTGAGCTGCTGACTGAGGTGTGAAGGGCGGGGACAGGGATAGACAAAGTCTGGGTTGGTAGTAGTGTTCCCTTCACCTCCCACTTGCCCCAAGGAAAGGAGAAGGTGTGCTAGCGCTCTCTCTCTCTCTCTCTCTCTCTTCCCTTCTCTTCCTTTATCCCTCTCCCCCTCTCCTCCTTTATCCCTCCTCCTCCTCCTCCCCCCCCCTCTCTCTCTCTGCCCCTCTCCCTTTCTTTCTAGAACAATAAAAACCTTTATTACTAGGAGGGATCTCAGGCCCACACAATATGAAATGATCAAACACACGTGGCACTTTGATCAGACCAACTGAGCAGATATACATATGGGGTAGGAGCCTTTCCCACTGGGCGAGAGCAAGGAACTCATGTTAAACCTCTGGGGCAGTGTGAAGCTCAAAGACGATTAAGTAGTACTTGGAATTTTAGGCTTGCAGAACAAGACAATAGCCGGGTGTTGTGGGGGCATGCATGTGGCTGGAAGGTAGCGTCGGGATCTCCGAGTTTGCGACCAGCCTGGGTTACTGTAGTGAGATTGTCTGAGAAAGCATCCCCTCCCCCACAAAGAAACCGCCAGCAGACAAGGACTGCGGTGGGTGTGCCAGACTGAGCCCTCGGGCCCTAGCTGAGTGTCACTCCTCAGGTCAACAGGAGGGTTTGTGAACTGGACGTGCTTGGGCCGGAAAGTGATGAACGGCGCAAGGCGTGCTTGGAGATCTGCAGCTCCCTCCGGCGCCGGCTCTGTTTAAAGAATTGACAGTCAGGCTACTTCCGCTCCATCCTCCTTCCGCACTCTGTCAGCGTTGCAGCACCTTGGGTGTGGGAGCTCAGAAGCGTGCAATAAATACCTGTTCAAGGTCGTTGTGCCCTGGGAAAAGCACACTTTCTCTGAAATAAGTGAGATAAAGTACCTGGCACTAGAAAGAGGAACAGCTGTGCTCCTGGGGACCAGAGGTTAAATTAGGGTTTGTGCCTCGCGTCCGGGACTATAGAACCTAACAGGGCTGGTCGGATATGCTGGGAGCGGCCTAAGGAGAAGAGTCCTGGGAAGGTCCAGCTCAGGGATCGCAATTCTTCCCTGCCGAGTCCACGGTGCGTGCGTTCCTCAGTCTCCACCTGACTCGGGGCACCGAGGTGCCGGAGAGGCGAGCCAAGTCGGGTCGCAGACTGTAAGAGACCATTGCGGATATACCAGTGACGTGATGGCGCAAGCGCATGGGCTGTCCCTGATCCTGAGTTGAGGGCCAGCAAGTGGAGGACGAGATCAGAAAGACGAGCCTCTCAGATCCGGAGGGACTTATGCTGGCTGACTGCCCAGGAAGGTTCATACTGATTCAAACTTGAGGCTAACAGCTCTCACTAAATAGTTTAGCCGAAGGGGCGGGACCTTTTTCCGGTTAAGCAAGCATGCGCAGTAGGCTCTTGAGAATGCCTTATACAGAGAGCTAGGGCAATGGAAGTTGTAGGGCCGCGTGGCCTAATGGATAAGGCGTCTGATTCCGGATCAGAAGATTGGGGGTTCGAGTCCCTTCGTGGTCGCTGCAAGTGTGCGATTTTTTTACAAACCCTAATTTAAGAATTTCCCATTCTCGTATTTGCTTTCTTTTCACCCCACGGCTCGGAGGAGGCTCGGAGGACTCCCGATTTCCAACGTGCTTGTAATCAACAGGTGAAGCTAGTTTAAACTAGACTATGAGCAGTTCGAATTAGCGCCGGGGAAAGGAAAACAAAAAACGCCAGATTGGGCTGCTTGCGGCAGAGTTGGAGCTGTCCAAGAGGAAGCCAAAGACAGAGTTGGAGCTGTCCAAGAGGAAGCCAAAGACACTAGGATTAAAAAATTCAGTAGGCAGCTACGATGAGAAACCTTGTTTCCAAAAACCAAACAACTCGACTAGATTATCCGGTTGATTGCACAATGTGGTGGATGCAGGTGACGTCACTGAAGAGGACGTCAATTAAAGCAGTAAATTTGGTTTATGTATATGTCCACAGCTCTAAAATTCGCGAAACAATCAAATAGATTAGGTTTCTTACGATGCGAAGGTGTCCAGTCCAGGAAATCCCACCCTGCATTTGGGAGGTGGAGGCAGGAGAGTTAAAGGCCAGTCTTGTTTCAACAACAACAAGCCGTCTCCTTACAGGTCCAGTCTAAGGACCTGTAAAAATATAAATTTTTAAATAGCAAGAATATGTCCAGGATTGAGTTGACATTTCTCCTGGTGTGTGTGTGTAGGGGTGTCTCCATTCAAGGGATTCGGTGTAATCGGAAACGTCTTTCATCCCCGCAACTCCCACGGGAGCCACATGAGGCGAGGGCCGGGATCCAGCTCACGTGGCACAGAGTTGTGCGGAGTCATTTGCTCTTTAATGTTATAGTGGTTTAATAAGGCTTGTAAATATAAGTTAGATTAGTAGTTACACACACCCCCCCGCCCCAACACACACACACGAGATAAAGGAGAGTCAAAAGGACATGAAGGTAAATGTAACTGGGCTGGAACGCAAATTTAGATTAGATTTTTTTTTTTTTTTTTTTTTTGAGGATGAGGGTATCGAGTAAAATATATAGGTCAGCTGTATACTCAAAAAAAGTGAAGATCTGTCCCTACCAAGTAGCGTTTGGTCGAAGAGTCAGAGGGAGAGGACCAAAAAGGCCGAGCACTGTGCACTCTTTCTGGACAGGGAATCGTCACCGCAAGGCACCGCAAAACATGTAATAGCGTACCGGCTCCTGTATCTTGCACCGCAAACACGTTTTCCCTACCCGCCGTCACGGTTCAAAGGGCTCACTCAATATTTGAATCTTGGACACCTTGCACACAGATATACGTAATACCCACTCTAGACCAATGGGCTAAGATAGAACCAGCGAAGTAGTTTTCAGTTTCTTCTTCAAAGTGAAGGTCCCGGGGTGCTTCGGGGCCTTAATTTAATCAGAGTTAGAGCCTTGCCTGAAAATGGACACAGAAATCTGGCAAAAGAGCAGCAATTTGTGAAAAAATAGCACACACAGCAAAGGGACACGGAAACTACGAAGAGAAACAAACTAGTGGAGGATTCATATTTCATCCCTCTCGTCAGCCCCGGTGGCCTAATGGATAAGGCATTGGCCTCCTAAGCCAGGGATTGTGGGTTCGAGTCCCACCCGGGGTAAGAAGGCTGTGTTTTAGACACCTGGAAAACGAATGTTAAGGAATTATACACAGACATTAAAAAATGTCGAGAGGATTTTTGACACACTTTTAAAGTTAGAGGTAGTGTTGTGTTTTTAAATGAAAGCAAACTAACAGTTTACAAAATAAGTGATTTCGTTTGAACTTTTTTGGTGGTTTTTTTTTTTTGTTGTTTGTTTTTTCTTCTTCCGAGATAGGGTTTCTCTGTGTAGCCTGGCTGTCCTGTTAACTCTCTCTGTAGACCAAACTGGCCTGGAACTCAGATCCACCTGTCTCTGCTTCCCCAGAGCTGGGATTAAACGCAAAATTGTTTTGTTTTTAATAAACACAATTATTTAGGGATCAACTTCACAGACAACGGATTAGTTATATAGATTGGTGCTCGGAGCCTATATATGGCTCAGTGGCAGACACAAAAGCACAGAAGACTATTTTCTTAGCTTTAGTACATGTTTAAAATAGATAATAATTCTGTATTTTAAAACTCTGTATAATGCATGGCTTCATCCTTAGGGTAAAACTTTCCCAAAATACAAGGGTTAATTAATCTACTGTAAAATTGGAAGCTTCTGACGCATTATGACCCAGGGAACCTTCCTAATTAATTAATTAATTCATGCTGCCTTTCACATGAAGGCCTCCTTGAGGCTGCCAGTTCCCATTAGCTGTGATTCTGCAACCTGCGGGGTGAAATTCTACTTTGTTTCATCAAGAGCAATCCTGTGGCTACAAGATGGAGGTCTTGGAGGTATGGAGGTCTTTGGGAATTTGGCCCTGGCTTTCTTTCTTTTTTCTCTTTTTCTCAATAGTTTACCCTGAGATTGGCCCTGACTTTCAACAAGACACACTTGTTTTAGAACAATTTATAATTTTTATTACTAAAAAAAAAAAGGTTCAAAACGAGGGTGGCGGCGGTCATCTATAATCCCAGCGTTAGGGAGGCAGAGGCAGGTGAGTCTTTTATTGGCCAGCCTGGTCTACATCTCGAGTTCCAGGACAATCTGGATTGGAACTTGCTTTTAAAAATCTGCTTAAAAAAAAAAAAAGTCGGGGGGCCGGACTTCATATTTATTTCACTTTCTGACCCTGTCCTTTCAACATTTTCACAATGATTTCTGCTTTCTAAAATGGAAAGCAGACACTTAGCACAGGTGGAGCCCCCAGAGATTCTGCCAGTCTAGAAAGGACTCAGTTCCCACAGCACGAGGATGTTGGTGCTTTCCCGTCTTTATCCGCTACAGGTAAAACAAAGCCGTTAGCCTCGTGTGTTAGAGGCTGTATTGCAGGAGAGCCCACCTTAGTTCCATTCCTCGACCGGATGGAAAGAGGTAGAGCTTCTTGAAGTCTGTGGAGTCACCGCCTAGTCTTGGAAGTTTCAAGAAATCCAGGGAGGTGGTGCCCTTCTCCAAGCAGAGTCCATAGACAGGGCCCTGAATGTTCTTCGTATTGTACCTGTAACTTTTATTTAAGTATGATATACCTGTAAAGTGTCAGGTTAAATATATAAATTTTAAATAAAAAGAGAGAAAAACCTGGCTCTGCCTCCGCAGGTTTCTGATTCTGTAGCGCTGTATATGAAATCCTCGGCCATGAGCACCAGTTCCTGCAGTACACAGACTTCTGCCCGTTCGCAGACTTCATAGACAAAACAGCTCGCCCAACGTGGGGCTCGAACCCACGACCCTGAGATTAAGAGTCTCATGCTCTACCGACTGAGCTAGCCGGGCGGATTTGACACATCTGTTCCCTACAAACCTCTTAGAATTCTTTAGAACCTCAGGGTTCTAGAACAGCTGGGTCTTTTTTGGGTTTTGTAGGATAAGCATCTAGCCTTAGACGGTAGTGGGTTTACTGGTTTACTCCTCCAGCCTCCTACAACTGCACGGCCAGTGTGTGTGTTGCCCCTTCCGTTCCCGGGAGCCACAGGGTGGGGGGCAAGGTCTGTGAGGATGTTAGGGCCAGATCGGTTTCACGATCTAATAACCGTGGGCGAGCCTGCGTTTTCAAACTCGCCGCAGGGACACCGAATCCCTTGCCAAACGCTATTCGGAGGTGAAGCTTGGAGCGTTCGTTCCGCGGTCCACGTAGGAAGAACCGAACCCCGACTCCAGCTCTGGCTTCTGTATCCTGGTCTATGAGTTGCGTTGGTCTTCAGGGCCGGAGTGGGCTGCCAAGGAACAGGGTCTGCGGATTCTTTGGAGGACCCTTGATGTTTGAGCCTGCGGGGACTGGCGGACCAGGAGGCGGCAATCCCGTCTCATTCTCGAGGTTCTAGACTAGGATTCTATTTGCGGTGAAATTTCTAATCCGGGGTCCACCACGAGACTGCGTTGCTCACTCGAGCTCTCTGATTTCCCTTTCCCGGAGGACGGTGGTCCCTGGTCACATGCGGAGTGCTGTGCCCCAGGGCTGAGATCTGACCCTTTATGAGCGCGTGGGAACTTTCTCTTCCCTCTTCACGGGGCCGGTGCCATACCTCCCTAGGTTTTCTGGAACTCACAGAAAAACGAACTCGAAAAATCTCTCCAAGTAGGACTAAAGAAATAGTCTTGATGAGGCAATCGGATGAAAGTATCCAAAGATC